AGATGGTTTCCAAAATTAATCTAACCGTGCCCTTTGTACGATTTTTTTTTTTGTTAGTCGTAGGGAAACTAATATGACATAAATAAGTGGGTAAAATTTTCACCAAAAATGACAACACTCACAAAATGGCCGCATCATTTCCATAGAAAAATAAATCGTGAAAAAAATTCAATAATTAATTAAATATACTATTGCAGTCGATGCTTGCAGATGAAATGTAATCTTATCCACTTTTTTCGTAATTCAAGCCGCATTTTTACTCGTAGCAATAACACAAGACGGCATAATAAAATTAAAATTGATACTCGTAAATACGTCACGACATGCCACGTGTCAAAATTGACTGATCGTAGAAATTTCATACTACTCTAGTTAAGAGTGGTTTTAGTTGCTTCAGTTTGAAGCGCGATGACGCCTTCTGGTTTGTTCTGTATTCTGAGGTCATTGGATAATTTTCCCCTCACAAAATAATTTCACATCACACTTACTTATTTAAAAGATTTTAAGCGCTTTTTTTAGCCTCTTTAGTAACGTTTAGTTTGTTATCGAACCAGATATTGCTGGAAACAATTTTTTATTCCAACGACGTGGGTTAGTGTCATCAATAATTACAATCAAGTGTGCATGCAATCTACGATTGCAAGAAGTAGGATTTTTTTGCAACTAGTAAACAGCGCCATCTATTTTCGTATTTTGTCAAACTTCATACCAACGACAATCTATCCATAAAGTGACAATATAATTTAATACTGCATTACATTCAATTTCATCCATTGCTTGTTGCGGGGTAAGCGCAATGTGGCACCTCGGCCCAAAACAGGAGAAGGAACGGGGGTTTTTAGTCAGTAAAAGTCTGACACTCTCTCGCCTTACCCTGGGCGGGAGAAGTCATTTGATGATTTTCCCCTGACAAATTAAAACATCCATAGCTTCATTCAATCCTTTTTAGGCAAGTAAACCTTCTGATTCATCGTTTTTTTAGTCTCACAAATCCTACAGCTGCATCAAACATAGATATATCACATATAAAAGCTCTAATTGTGACCTGCGCAGTGCAGACAGAACATTCTAGATCTAGACTTATGCATTCGATGCGTTGATTGCAGAATATCAAATTCGCTCAATGCACAGGAAGTAATTATCCGAAAACACAATGAAATTGGGCACGCTGTTATTGCAGAGATGAGACCTGTTTTTGCGGAGTGTTCTCGCCCTCACTATCCGCGTGATGCAAGTGCTTAACGGACACAAAAGCTTAGGTAGCTACCTGTTTCGGATCAGGGGGACCATCCAGAGGACACGTTGAAACATAAGCTGGCTGTGTGTCCTGCTTGGACTGTTTTAATAATTCATCTTTAGTCTATTTATAACCGATGCAAGAGGCACTTTCAAATTCGCTAAGCAATCTTAGGTGGTAAGCTTTCGAGGGTTGCGGGGCAAGCGCAACCCAGCGTGGCCTCCGCGTAGGGCCAAGAAGGAACGAGGGGTTTTTATCCAGTAAGAGTCTGACACTCCCTCTCACTTTTCCTCCTCAAAAGAAAAGCGGTAAACCTTCTGCACTTGCTCGTTCACAATCAACCCTGTATGCTAAATGCATAGTACAGCTAATTTAAAAGTATTGATCGTGACCTGCGCACTGCAGTTGGAACATCCCAGAAGTCTAGGTTGAGAGCTAGCGGGGCGCGGCTTGCAGTCAGTGCGTCCATCGACGTGTACCGAGCAGGACGTCTCCTCTTGTGTACCGTTGACTCTGGCTTTAACATCTCGGTAAGTGAATTCATTAATTAATTACAGTCTATGTAATATCGAAGGTGTTATAAGCTGTGGGCATTGCTGGAAGAGAATTAACTTAGGGGTCTTTTTTCCATACCTCCTTTTCTCCCTTTTCAGTAACTACGAAATCCTTTTTTATGCCACAAGCGAAGTGGCTTCGTTGTGTAACTTCCTGCCCATCAATTCTCTTAACGGAACTCCCTTTTCTTCTCTTTACCAGACTAAGAGAGCCGATGCCCTGTCTTCCTAAGAATAATTGTCAGGGTTACTCAATATGTTACTTTGTTCCAGGTGACTGATGCTGTGCAGCGCTCCCATTCGTCTCTGACGTTGGTGTAGCAGCTTGTGGCCGCAGCACTTTATCCTCAATGAGGAATGAGGTGATTATTCTTTCATCTTTCTGTACCCCGTCATCATCATGAACCTAATCCCGTCCACTGCTGGACATAGGCCTCTTCAATTGCACGCCACTGAGCTCGATGTTCAGCTCTTCTCATCCAGCCACTGCCAGCCAGAGCCCATGATACGCCATATTAATTTGGCAATTCTTATTCTTCGCAGTTTTTAATTACGCATAGTAATAATGTTCAGAAATATTTCAATGAATAAATTAAAACTGTAAGGGCAAATTGGTGATAAATACTTATGATTTGTTGCAGGTGTCCCGCGGACGAGCTGCGTCACCAGTTCGCTGGAGACAGACTGGGGCCCGGTCGTACAGCACCAGCCCTCTGACACCAGCGCACTGAACCTTCAACCTCCTCAGAAATGTAGCAACATTCTCATCTAGAGTATTGCTGCATTTCTATGGACCATCTTCCGGATAGCTGACAACGGCTGGCGTGGGTCCTATAAGACCGAGGCAAGGGGCTGATGGACCGTGTTTTACTAAATATGCTCCTACAGTGGCTCTCCTCGCTCGTCTAGAACTCGCGCCTGATCCCTGAGGAGGGGAGAAGAGGGTTCCACCAAGAACATCAGTAATAGAACTTGAGTATTACTGGTCTTCTTAAATCTAATCATTGGAGCAACTCTCGGCTCCTCTCCTCCTCAATCTTCTTGTAGAAATAAGGTTTAATCATGTCCCGAAGTGTACACACAGTAATATTGAATTCGACATTAATATTCAGTCTTCGTTATGTATGTTAGGTAAGATTCGTGTTGTAATTATGACTTACTGTTAATGAGACATCCATAAAACGACATAGATCATAGGTTTAAGGAAATTTTTGTGTTTCATTTATCATCTCCTTTCCTTTATCCTTCTCACATAATAAAAATATAGATTAAAAAATGAGGCCTGGCTTGAATCGAAGAGTTGGGCAAAGAAACAGGAGTTTTTGAAAAAAAATACTTAGGTATCTTAGTTGTGTCACAGTGTGGAATTGTTGCCATATATGTTCATTGGCAATGGGCAATAGAATAACCCCTTGTTATAGGAAGTGTTCCTGATTTTTTGTAGAATCGTATATTATTATCATACCTACGATATTTTGGAAATATAAATGGAAATGGGATGACTTATAGGTTTGTCTCAAAGAAAAAAAATATATTGGTCGATTTTTTCATGGCTGGGTACGTAGAGACATCAGGATTATGATGGTAAGTATCAGAATAGAATATATTTTTTTTCCAACACATAGTGTTGTGAAGATATATTGGGGTCTTCCCAGCAGGATGTTTTTTCCCGCGGTTGCCGTAAGACAGGAGTTGATATCAGCCTTTGGTTGCACTTGCACAGTGGATACAAACCGGGGGTAGTATTCTCTACGTGCGTGCAAGATAATGGTTAACCACCCTAGGTAGAGAAATAAAATTAAAATCGTCAAGATACCTATAATTATTAAACATGAATTTGAAAAAAAAAACAACATTATTGTCAACGTTCGTTTAGGGAATTGCGGGAACAAAATATTTTGTTAACCCGTTGAAAGGAGTTCCCCGATACGCTAATAGGTGGTGCTGTTCAAAATCCTACATCAGAGAATTCCGTACTTTTTACAAAATGAAACTTGAGAGGGAAAAAGGACGGCGCTGTGGGTGAGAAGAAGCGGATGTTAGTTTCTAGCACAGCTGTAACGCATTTAAATCCTTTAAGAACTATGCAACGACCACTTGCCACGGTAAACTAAGAGTCCTGCGTGAAAAATAGGACTTTTAGCTAAAATTAAGTTTTTTTTTAAATATCATAAAATACTACTTCGTCAAAATGCTACTTACCATTACTAGCATTGCCAGTTAGTAGTATAACAGTTATAAAATTAAGAGTTAAATAAATATAATATTGGGAAAAATTCGGTTTGTTTTATTACTTTTTTCTTGAATTTTTTCATCACTCATAATCATCTCTATCCTTGCAACAATTTATTTGTCTCTGTCAAAGTCATGTGTAAATGTCAATCAAGAATGCCAGGGTAACCAGCTTGGAACATTTACCACAAATAACGGGAGCGGTAGTGTGTAGTTTTTAAATACATTTTTATTTTAAGAACATATCTTTCAAGCGTTAAGTATATTTAAATTTCAAAATATTGTATGATTTTTATTTAACATTTTCATTTGAAAAATATCGGTAACTCCTGATTTTCTTATTCTTTTTTGTTTAAAACGTAAAATTCTCAATTGAAAATCATTTTATACAATATACGATGGACTTTTTGCTGAAATTAGTTTCAGAAACTCAACTAACAAATTATTTTTTTTTTTTTATTTATCTAATTCTTAACTTTTTTGTTTTTTTTTTTTCTCTTATATACAATGTGATGTAAATTAAGTAATTTAATATTATTTTATAAGCTAGTAATAACCCTCTTTGCAACGCCTGAAAAAGGCCGTTAAGCTGTGCCTGCTATTTTAATTTAAGATCCTTGTACCCACCTTAACATGCAAATAAAGAATTTGAATTTGAATTTGAATTTGAATTTGAAATACCATCGCCAAAAGGTCAGTTTGCTCTGTGCGCCAGAAAGTTACGCGAAAATCGCATAGTTTTTGACTGGCGACCGACTATGTTTATGATAGGGATAAAAGTATTTGTTTTTAGGACTTTATCTGGGTATTAATGTCTTATCTTCTCCCGCCCTGGGTAAGATAAGAGGGAGTGTTCAGATTCTTACTGACTTAAAACCACCCCGTTCCTTCTAATACTTAGAATATGGGGTACAATATTTTTCACATTTGGTAACATTGATGTATGTCAATCAAATTCACTATCTCAGATTCTTAATGTCAGATTGTGTTTAACAGTAGAGAATTTTATTGTAATTTGCGAATTACTTTTCGTAATTAATGAAATTCTCTCAAAGGAAATGTAAAAAATTAAGAGCTTGAAATAATGGAGGAAAATAAAGTTGAAACGAACGCCGAAAGCGAACGGAAAATTTCAAGACGAAAAGTGTTTAAGTTTTGTGCGATCACAATAATAGGTAACTTTTATTATTTTCCTTAATACTCTGTTAATAATAATATAATTTATCAGAAGCTACAAGGTTTACTCTGTCTGTTATGACGTCTTTTCGAGTCTTTGATTCAAAATAACATGTCTAAAAACATATCGCAAATTCCTTTTCGGTTCTCAAATAACACAGAAAATAAGCATTGTTAGTCGTGAATCAATTAAAAAGTCATTAGCTACGGCTATTTATTTTCCTATCTAGTAATAAACATTCGCCTCCTATTGTTAGATGTCACTAAAATAATGTTTTTTTTTATTGTACTCCATTGTTTATGTAAGTTTCTTGCATTTTCTATAGGTAGTCAATATGTTAATAAAATATACCAAGAATATAGCCTAACAAACTTAAATATTCATATATATTAACAGCTTAAAATAACACCCAATTTAAAATCAAAACTTGTCAATATTATGTTTCTTTCCAACTAGTCCAATTCAATCTATTTTTTTTTTTCATTTTTTTTATTAGGTAAGGTTTTTTGGTCACACGAAAATGTTGCCAGATCCATCCATATTTTAGGATGCTAACAATTAGTTAAACAGTACTCTTATTGACTATTGTGTACATCAAAATGGCTGCTCAAGATATAGACTATGATTAGTGAACATATTATTGGTGCTGTTACAACAAAAAAAAAAAAAACTGTTGTTTATCCTTTAAACTAAACTATAACTATTATGGCAATGAGTTTGTCCTAGAACCCCTAAAACTATGATAAGGGAGAAACAAATAAACAATCTATACTAATATTATAAAGAGGTATTGTAAGTTTATATGTAGGGGGTAATCTTTGGAACCGCTGGTCAGATTGCCAAAATTCTTTCACTGATAGGTACCTAGCTACAATATTCCTGAGTGCTCTAGGCTATAAAACTATGATCAAATGCAGCTGAGCAGAGGGTGAAACTGCGCAAGAGTAGCTAGTATTGTATAATTTTTCAAATATGAAGTTGATACCCAATGCGGGGTTTTGTCTATGCTTCCCTGTGAGCTGGCACCATACAACCATATCACCAGATCATCCATGCCGCTGTATCAGGTCCAACAAATTGGCAAAGTACATACACAAATTATATTTTGCAGTAATTTTTATTTTTTTATTTATTCTGTGAAACATTATAAACAGAATATTGTTTTCTAAAATGCCACAGTGTTGTGCAGTGCACACACAAAGGTACTCTTTTTGAGTTCAGTCTTCTTTTCAGCAATAAATATTAGAGTGTAATCCAAAATAAAATGAAAAACATTTCTTAACACAAAAAAATATGATCAAATTCAAAACATTGACATATTCAGTAAGAATGTTTGCCATTTTACAGCTGTTTAGACCTGACACATGAAGCGCTGACTAGCGGGTAAAGCCTCAGAGGGCTTTTGTTTTTTTTATTATGTCATAAGTCAGCAAACCATCCGACGGATTACCTGATAGTAAGCAATCGGCACCGCCAATGGACACTCGCAATACCAAAGGAGTTACTACAAGTACATTGTTGGCCTTTAATTGTGGGTGGATAAGGATTTAGAGATAGGGGATTTGAGGATGGGGGGAGGCGGGGGTGCCCATTTATTGACAAAGGCTTTTAATTGTCAAACAACCACTGATAAAAGCCAAGCAGCGTGTCTAATCGCGCGGGAGTAGCTAATAAGGTACTCAGGTAACTATTTGACGAAGTGTCACAACGACTTTCAAGCCACAACAGGGGCCATTTATACCCCTGGTTGAGGTACTATACCTTCCGCCTGACGTAGGTGCTTACCGGACATAAGAGTTTCGGGAGGTACCTACCAGATACCGGCTTCAGCGGTAGGAAACTTCTGGTACGGTCTCATTGCAGAGTGGAAGCAAAGCCAGTCGCAATCGAGGGCTGGGTACGCTGTTCCTCGCGTGCCTCATTTAGCCTACGATAGATAAGGCCGATGTGCAGTCCACCACCGCGGCCTCGGCCTAAAGCTGGAGAAGGAACGGGGGCGTTTTTAGTCAGTAAGAGTCTGACACTTCCTCTCGCCTTACCCTGGGCGGGAGAAGTCATTTGATAATTTTCCATTCACAAAAGAAAAGGCGGTAGGAAACTTGTTGGTGTCGTCTCTGCTAGAACCACGGTGGCGGTGTCCTTTGATGGAGCAACGCCTTGTCTTAACGCCTTGGGTTTTGTCGCCTACCCAAGAAGAAAGGGGTCTGCAGAATTTCCTTTAAAAAAATCTTATAGAATTACTAGCTACTTTCGCGCGGTTTCGCCCGCTGCTCGGCTCCATTTGATCGTAGCGTGATGTTTTATAGCCTATAGCACTCAGGAACATTGTAGCTATCTATCAGTGAAAGAATTTTAGCAATCCGATCAGCTGTTCCAAACATTACCCCCTACATACAAACTTACAAATTTTGCCTCTTTATAATATTAGTATAGATAAGCACTATCCTCATAATTAGTCCCAAATTGACTCCTTTTTTCTTCTTCTTCTTCTTTCAGCTTCAACTCTAGGCTTCGTCCACTACCGGTACGTATCGAGCCTCTTTGAGAATGACAGGAATTTCTCTTACCTATCGGAGATGGAGAGGGAGATGTCTTTGAGGACGGAGATGGGCTTCTACTATTCGTATTACAAGACTATTGTTGAGGAGAAGCCATTCATAGCTGGTATTTCGAAGCTCATGCATGATCGGCTGGTGGAATATCCAAAAGACGTGAATGCTTTTAACCGTTTTAATATTTATCCGGAGGTGAGTTGTATTTTCTTGTTGAAAGAAAGAAAGAAAGAAAGGAGGAAAAAGAAGACATTTATTTAGCACCAGGCACGATGCAGCTTATATAAAATATAAAATAGACAATAAAAGTGTGACAGTAGAAGTTAAAACATGAGTTAAATATTAAAACAGATGAAACAGAAAATAGACGCTACAACATGCCCATGCTAAATGGGTTACCCACTCAGTGTAAGCTAAGCATACAAGTCGCCCAGCACTGATTTTCAGTGGGCACCCCTGCAGTGACGCAGTGTATAATATGAACCGGTTGGCGCGGTGGCTGGGCAACTGGCTGCCGCGCAACGTATCGCGGTTTCGATTCCCGCACGGAACAATTCTTTGTGTGATCTACAGATTGTTGTTCCGGGTCTGGAAGTGATGTGTATGTGAAATTGTATGTTTGTAAACGCACCCACGACACAACAAAAAGTCCCAGTGTGGAGCAAAGCTTAAAAAAGATTATCACAAAGGTTCATTTATGTATATATATTTAATAGATAGGACAGAAAAACTAACACACGGATTACCTGATGGTAAGCAATCAGCGCCGCCCATGGACACCCGCAACGGAGGAGTTACGAGTGCGTTGCCGACCTTTTGGGTATTAGGGATTGGGGAAGGTAAAGGATTGGGCCTCCGGTAACCTCACTCACACGGCGAAACACAACGCTGTGGTTGTTTCACGATGGTGTTGTCAGAAACCGTGATATCACTCCAGACAATATTAATTGCAGGTATTAATAGGCGCTCTTTACCGTTACTTCGAGCCCTATCTGAACACTTCATTCCACCGTCGATGTCACATGGTGGATAGGGGCGAAGCCCTACCCCCAGTGGAGAGTTGCGAAGGCCTAGGCCAGCCAATATTCTTTTACTTGGAAGCAGTATGGTTTCTTGCTGGATTGACAGTCGCTGCCTTGTTTTTACATGCTGCGTCCTTGAGGTAATGTGGATTTTATTTCTTACTAGCTCTATATATACCCTACTCTACCTACCCTACTCTACCTACCCTACTCTACCTACCCTACTATAACTACCCTTCCCTATTCTACTCTACCTACCCTACCATACTCTACCTAACCTACTCTACCTACTCTATCCTATGTCCTTCTCCTGGCTCTAAACTACCTCCCTGCCAATTTTCAGCTAAATCGGTTCAGCCAGTCTTGAGTTATAAGTGGAGTAACTAACACGACTTTCTTTTATATATATAGATTGTTTTACGCCATTGGAGCAAAAGAGCAGACGGATTACCTGATGGTAAGCAATCAGCGCCGCCTATGGACACTCGTTACAATACCAAAGGAGTTACTTTAAGTGCGTTGTTGGCCTCTTGGGAGTTGTAAGGGATCCGAGGGTTTAGAATGAAAAAATTGGGCCTCCGGTAACCCCACTCACCAGCGAAAAACAATACAAGTATTGCTTTCCGCCAGTTTTTGTGAGGCCGTGGTTTCACTCCGGTCGAGCCGACCCATTCGTGCCGAAGCATGACTCTCCAACACTTTTATAATTTCTTATTATTTTCTAGTTATAATTTTTATTACTTGTAAGTTTGAAATCACCAATCCGCTTTAAGCAAGCGTGGTTGTAAATGCCCAAATTTTTGCTTGAAAAGAGGCCTTTGCTCAGTAGTGGGTATTTATGGGCTGATGATGATGATGATGTATTTTTAAGATTCTGCACACAAAGAGAAAAGAAAGAATGTCCGTCCAACTGTCTATATGTTACTAGGTTATGATGCGTGATAACTTCTAAGTCAAAATCATTTATTCTAACTAAACCATAAATAGGTGCTTTTGAAACGTCAAAATAAAATACACACACAGTAGTCTGTCAGTCGGTTCGTCAGTGAAGCTACGTGCTCGTTCCAAATTGTAGATTCGAATCGAAAAGAACGAGATAGAAACTACATCGTTACTCTTTTAAATAAAGTTGCAAGTTGGAGTTTGGGGAGATGATGTATTTCTGTACTCCCTTTAAAATATATGAGTTTAGGTATAGAATCATACGCTCTTGGCCTGATTTTAATTGAAATAGATTTATAAAACTTGTTTTTGGATTTCTGGTGTATAAGATTATGCTACTATTTGTATTTTTAGCAGTAAGTCTTCCATGTACTTAGAGCTGATTTTTCAATGATTAGATAAAAGTTACCTGGGGAATAATTAAATGATGCTGTCGCGTCACAATGTTTGTATAAGACAGTGACAGCAACAATTTTGTTCCTCAGATAACATTTATCTGACTATTGAAACAGACCTTAGAAGAAATAAATAAATAAATGTTAACCATTTTTTTCAGTGAAAGTATACTAGGAGGTTTATTAGCCGTCGCGCAGTACTTCGCGAATCACTCAGAGTGCACCAGAGTTCAATGGGCACCGAATGAGAGGGAAAACTTTGCTGCCCCTTTCCTGCTCTTGCAGACCTGGCTGGTCTCCATGCAGCTACGAGATAAGCAGAGGAGGGCTACTTTTCAGCTACAGGTATTTACCATTTTATTAAAAAAATCCTATTATCCTACCAATTCCTATTCTACTATGCTACCAAAATTCTGGCTACTATCCTACCTAAATCCCAGCTACTGTCCAACCTAATTCCTGGCTTCTATCCTACCAAAATCCTAGCTACTATCCTACTAATACTTCTACAAAAATTCCAGCTACTATCCTACCAAAACTCTGGCTACTATCCTACCTAAGTCCCAGCTACTTTTCTACCAAAATCCTGGCTTCTGTCCTACCAAAATCCTTTTTAATATCGTACCAAAATTCTAACTACTATCCTACCTAAATACTAGCTACTATCCTACCAAAATCCAGGCTATTATCCTTCATAAATTCTAGCTACTATCCTACCTAAATACTAGCTACTATCCTACCAAAATCCTGCTCACCGCAGTGAGCTCACCCTCCTCTATCAACCATGGGTGGCTCCGATTGCATACCATCTAGTCATCCGACATAAAAAAAACTCATCATCATCATCATCATCATCAGCCTATAAGTGCCCACTGCTGAGCAAAGGCTTCTTCCCACACGGAGAAGCTTAGAGCATTAATCACCACGCTTGCTCAATGTGGGTTGGTGATTTCAAACTTATAATTCGAAATTATAAGTCCAGGTTTCCTCACGATGTTTACCTTCACTATATGTCAGTGGTGTGTGAATAATCATAGAAAGTACTTGTAACTCGGAAAAAGTCACATTGGTACTTGCCAGGTTTCAAAACCTCATGCATGAGAGGCGGGCTCCTTAACCTACCGGCCACCACGACATATTAATAATAAAATCTACACTTTGGAACGAGCGAATAGCTTCACTAAGAGGACTGACCGACAGACTGACACTTTGTATCTTTAAAGTTGTGTTGACGTTCAAAAGTGCCTGAATGGGTCTAATTGAAATAAATGATTTTGACTTTGACTTTGACTTTGAAAAAAAAAATTACCGAACTAATAAAATATTCTCTATTGTTCCAGGTTTCGATCTTCGTCCTAAACTGTCTTTGTTTATTATTCTGGCAATTCTCTCAGTTCATATTTTTAACTCAAACGGCAATATTTTTCGTTATGGAGCAATTCCGTATAATAGATATAAAAGCTCTTTGCATATTTTTGCATTCCCATTTCTGTGGCCTTCATATGGCCGTATTTTTCTTACAAGGCAATGATATGCTAAAATCGTCCTTGTACGCTTCATACTTCTTCATTGTGTCTCTTTATTGTTTGTGCTTTAGCTCGCTAAAGCTTAAGGTTCAAAATCGCGTGGATTTGTTCGTGGAGTTATGGTTGATTTTGTTGAAAATAGCTATTGTTACCGTAGCCGCGTTTTATTTGAAGAAAGTTTTTAGTAATTATCTCGAAGTTGAAGAAGATTCTCACGTATGGGATATTTTGTATTCGAAATTTACTAATTATAAAAGTTTCCATACATTAATATATACTTGTACAGCCGTCTTCGATTTTCTACCTTTGAGTACAATAAAAAAATTATTCAAATCATTTTTAATCCCATTCGCGGTATTAAGTATAGCAAACTTACTAAACTATTGGCTGTCGACCGCTTCGGCCTCGTGCAGGAAAGAGATGGAAGATCGAAACAAAAGAACGGACAAGGACGGAGATATTTCAGACGAATCCGATTCCGGTATCGAAAATTCGGATTCGAAACGTCTTGAGAAAAATATAACGGATTTGGACGTTTTAGATAAAGAAATAAAGTCTAAAGTTGAGGAAGAAGAGACTAGTGATGTGCTTTTATTGTTATTAAGGCATATTAAGGCCGAGCCAGCGATATTTTACAATATATCACAGATGGTTGTCTATGGTGTCATGGCGGCGCTAGTGATGCGACTCAAATTGTTATTTACAACGCATCTGTGTATTGTCGCTGCTATTATGATGAATTCTAAATATTATCCGTGAGTATTCTGTTTTTTTTTTATTGATTCTGTTGATTTCTTTGTTACTGCTTCGATTGCCAGGTAGAGCCAAAATTTTTATGTACTTTATTTTCTGTAATCTACTTTTACAACAATGGTATCTAAATAATCATAGAAAGTACATATAACTCGGAAATATTGACATTGGTACTTGCTAGGTTTCGAACCCGCACCCTCATGCATGATAAGCGGGCGCTTAACCTCCGGGCCACCACGTCGTGGACAGACTAAAAATATTAATCACTAGTTTTATTTCACATTAGCTAATCCCGCGTTTTCACTCGCTGCTCGACTCCATTTGATTGTAGCGTGATGTTTTATAGCCTATAGCACTCAGGAACATTGTAGCTATCTATCAGTGAAAGAATTTTGGAAATCCGACCAGCGGTTCCAAAGATTACCCCCTACATACAAACTTACAAACTTTACCTCTTTATAATATTAGTTTAAATTTATAATATTAGTGGATTTTAAGATTAGTGTTACACTGTTCTCACATAATTGAACCAACTAAATAATGTAACTCATTTGTTCCTTTTTACTAACAACTTGTCTCTGCATTGTTCTCACACAGTAATGTATAAAAAATGTATTATTGATGAATTGTAAAACAATTATTTTTTTAAAAAGAGTAACGGTGGAGTTTCTTGCTCGTTCTCGTGAAGCTAGGTGCTCATTCGAATCTACAATTCGAATGAGCACCTAGCTTCACTGACGAACAGACTGACAGACTACTATTCTATTTTGACGTTTCAAAAGTACCTATTTATGGTTTAGTTGGAATAAATGATTTTGATTTGATTTGATTTGATTTGATTTGATTTGATTTGATAACAAAAGAATCTGTATGTGAAACTGATCGAAAAAGAGTAACCATGGAGTTTCTTGCTCGTTCTTCTCCATAGGAATCTACACTTTGGAACGAGCAAATAGCTTCACTAAGAGGACTGACCAATAGACTGACACTTTTTATCTTTAAGCTTTATTTGACGTTCAAAAGTGCCTGTAAGGATCTATTTGAAGTAAAAGATTTTGACTTTGAGGGTTTACATAATTTGTGTATTTCAGCATCCCGAAATCGTACAAGAAGTATCTCCCTTTCTTCTGGGCTGTTTGCATGTCACCGCTGGTCCAGGACTTGATGCAGAGCATACCGCAAGAGATGTCGCATATAGGTGAGTGCAAATCAAACAATAATCCCCCCCCAAATCCCCAAATCTCCAATCCCCTATCTCCAATATATCCCCAAATCTCCAATACCACATAAAGGACGGTAATGGAATTGTAATTCCTCGATTTTGCTAGTGTCCCTGTACGGCGCCGATTGCTTACCATCAGGTGGTCGGTCTGCTCGTTTGATGACCTATCACAAAAAAATGGTACAGCTTATATGTATACTAGTGGTTCGCCCGCGAATTGGAAACATTTTAAATAATATCTTCTGATTTATTTTGTTGCGGGATCCAAGACAGTCATTCATGTCCCTGGGACGGTCCGGACTTCAGCGTTTCGGTGTTTTCATGGTTGTATCTACAGTAGATCCTGGTTCATAGGAGTTACGGCGGGCTTGTCCCATTGCCGGCTCGCCCTGCTTGACATTACATACCTAACGTCGAAAGGAGTCGTTAAAATCTATTTTTTTAGCAAGTCCCTACTATAATTTTCTTCCATGAAACTCAACTGACTTTAAAGACACACAACAAGAAAAGAATTATCAAAATTGGTTCGGGCCTTGTTAAGTTTTGCGCTTACCAACACATTTTCGATTGAATTTTATAAATATAGCTTCATAATAGGTCTTTTAAAATTGCCGTTCTGCAGTACTGTCCATTTCAAATCAAAATAATTTTGTTAGGCTAACACCCGGTTTCTGAAAGGCTTGTCAACGCTAAAATTAACTAATCTCCTATTAAATCTCTTTTCAAGGCATCTGATTGGTTGTTGATAATTCAGTCAACCAATCAGATGACTTGACAAGAGATTAAATTGATTTTAACATTGATCGGCCTTTCGGAAACCGTTTTCTCTATTTCCCGTTTTTTCTATTCTTTTTCCAAAAGTAGTCATTTGTTTATTGATTAGTGTTACATTTTCATCGCATTTCAAATAAAAAAATCGTTTAAATTTTTTCATGCAAAACGGCAATTTCATAGGTAAAGACCTATTAAAAAATATAATTACTAGCTTTTACCCATTCCCATCTTTCATTTGACTATCTACACCGACCAACATAGTTCAGCCGGGGTTTCGGGGTAAGCGCAATGAGGCACCGCGACCTCGGCCCAGAGCAGGAGAAGAAACAGGGGGGTTTTTAGTCAGTAAGAGTCTGACACTCCCTCCCGCCCGGCCCTGGGCGGGAGAAGTCATTTGATGATTTTCCCCTCACAAAAAAAAACCCTACATAGTTATCTACAATACCCTACCTATCCCATTCTGCCCTACTCTACCCTATATTATTTTTTCTCTGTCAGTCTGTTTGTTCAGGCTAAAAGTGTAATAACACTTTTAGCAGTTAGTTTAGCATTATTATTATTACATTATTTATGTGTAGTAAACATTGGTTATTTTAATTTTAAATTTTACAAACAGATATTTAACATTTATTTTAATTATTTCAGGTGAATTCAGCGATATAAATCAAGAACAATTGCTTGAGTGGATCCGTTCTGACACACCAATGACTGCAGCGTTTGCGGGTTCGATGCCCATCTTAGCCACAATAATGTTGGTCACCCGACGGCCTATAGTCGCCCATCCACATTATGAGCACTCAGAAGCGAGGTAAGATGTACTACCGTCTCTTTCTAACGTTGTCTAACCTTAAAGGATAGACAAGGATGTTGAATTCTAATTATAAGTTTGAAATCGCCAATCCGCCTTGAACAAGCGTGGTGATTAATGCTCAAACCTTCTCCGTGTGTGAAGAGGCCTTTGTTCAGCAGTGGGCACTTATAGGCTGGTGATGTAAAGCAATCAGTGCCGCCTATAGATTTGGAGATTTAGAGATTGGGGTGGATTGGGCCTCCAGTAACCTCACTCACACGGCGAAACTCAACACTGTGGTTGCTTCACGCCGGTTTTCTGTGAGGCCGTGATACCGCACCGCTGATTATGCTAAAGCTAAAAAAATGTATTTTATTACAACTCCTTAATTAGTCGTAAATAAAACCACAAAAAATAGTTTTTTTGCTGTAGAAATCACCCGTTAATTGGAGAGCGATGCTTCGGCACGAATGGACAGGCTCGACCGGAGTGATATTAAGGCTTTACAAAAACCAGCGTGAAATAACCATTGCGTTGTGTTTCGCTATGTGAGTGAGGTTACCGGACGCCCAATTCCTCGACAATCCCAAAATCTGCAAATGCCTAATCGCAATCGGCACCGCCCATGGCACACAAGAGTTCGTTACCGACCTTTTGGGGATTAGGGTAACGGATATTTAAGGATTTGGGAACGAATGGGGTAGCCAACCTCACTCACACAGTGCTGTAATTGTTTCAAGCTGATTAATTCCTCATTCCTCCAAATCTCCAAATAAACAACCTCAAATCTCTTACTCTCTCTTTTAACCTGGTGTTACCTACCTCTAGTTCCTCGTATCCTTGTTACTTTTCCCTCATCCCTCCCCAATGCCAAATCCCTAATCACCAAAAGGTCGGCGATTCTTCTGTTGTTGTGGGTGTCCATGGGACTTGCCGAAATTGCTTACCATCTGGTAATCCGTCTGCTCGTTTGCAGACCTACCGCACAAAAAAACCGTGAATTTTAAAGCTTAGCAACCAATATCCTCTCATATTTTAAGTAAGTTATAATTTCAGGGAACGTGCGTATACTGTGCACAAAATGTATGGTAAGTTCACACCGCTCGAGTATTATCAAGATCTCACCAAGTTAAAAGTCAGCTACCTTGTCGTGGAGACCAAATACTGCTATGGAAAAAGCAGGTCAGTGTAACCTACTATCTTTATCATATACTAGCGGCCCGCCCTCGCTTCGCACGGGTCCAACTATCTCGCTATCAAAGGGTCACTTTTTCCTAATCTTCCCCTCTACTTTTCTAATATTTTCTTTGATAAGAACCTTCTGGCAATTACAAACACAACAAAAAAAGAATTAGCAAAATTGGTACAGGCGTGAGTTATGCGCTTACCAACACATTTTGCGATCCATTTTTATATATAAGAAGAAGACTAACTACTCGGCTCGCCCGCTGCTCGGCTCCATTTAATCGTAGCATGATAGCCTATAGCACTCAGGAACATTGTAGCGATCTATCAGTGAAAGAATTTTGGCAATCCGACCAGCGGTTCTAAAGATTACCCCCTACATACAAACTTACAAATACCTCTTTATAATATTATTATGTATTAGTATAGATTTAATACGGTAGTTTCCAACTAGTCAAATTAAATACTTTTATAGAAATGTCAAAAACTTTTATATGAAAAACTGAGTTATGACGTCATAGTGTTTTTGCGTCAAATAGTTTACTTATTTCTTAAAATTTATATTAGCTAAAACATATCTAAAATTCAGTGTTTTTATGGTATGGAAACGTCGAATTAATTTATTTTTGACCTAGAAAACTACCAAATTCTACTTGCTGTACGTGTTTGTCATTGAACTCCTCCTAAACGGCTTGTACGATTCAAATGAATGTTTAAAATCACAAATCTGCCCGGCAGATGGCGCTGATTGCTCTAAAAAACATGTGATCGATGCCTTCGATGTGAGGGTTTTCGGAGATGGTCCGCTTGTATACGTTTAAAAGTAATGTACCCAGGGATTTAAAAAACAGCAGCGTTTAAAGCGATTGCTCGACTAATACGCAAATCAAGTATCTATACTTATATGAAAATCAATGCCAATTTGATCTTAAATTATTAGTACATAGAGAAAATTTAAATAACACCTTGAAAAAGTGTAAAATCAACACCCACGCTGGCGGAGCCGCGGGCGACCGCTAGTCAAGTATAATTTTCCGAGCGCACGGCGCGTAGCGTTCTGCGCGCGCCTCAAAGAGCCAGTAGACCACCACAGACGGAGCCCTGTAGGGCTGATGTTTAGCCGGGGTTGCACCGCGACCTCGGCCTAAAGCAGGACAAGGAACGGGGGAGTTTTTAGTCAGTAAGGGTCTGACACTCTCTCTCACCTTACCCTGGGCGGGAAAAGTCATTTGATGATTTGACAAAAAAAATGGCACTTAGGAAGCCATATTTAGATATGTTTTACTTTTTATTCCAGTAAAGGATGTTCATTCGAGAACATATGGGACATCGAGGCCCCCTGGTTGAGTAACCGTCCCACCATCTGCTCAACCCTCCTCAGTCAACCAGTCGACCATTTTTATCCCGTCTTCAGAAATGAGCATTACGCCGTTTTCAACGTCCATGATTATAGTGTTCGGTAAGATTTTTTTTATTATTATTTTTAACTTAGTTTCTTAAAAGTGACTGTAAGGGGATCTCGGGGACCATTCCCGATGAAAGTTTTTTTACGAAATAGATCGGTAAACGAGCAGATAGATAACTCTCTCGTGGATACCCGCCAAGAAGTTACGAGTGCGTTGCCTGCCTTTTGGAGATTAGGGATTTGGGATTAGGGAGGGATAACGGGAAAAGAACCAGGGTTCGCGGGACTAGGGAAGGTAACACCAGGTTACAAGAGAGAGTTAGAGATTCTAGGTTGTTGATTTGGAGATTTGGGGAAAGGAGGGATTAATCGGCCTGAAACAACCACAGCGTTGTGTGAGTGAGGTTGCCGGAGTCCCCATTCCCCCAGTCCGAAACCCTAATCTCCAAAAAGCCGGCAACTCACTCGTAACACGTGGTGTTGCGGGTGTCCATGAGCGATGCCGATTGCTTACCATCAGGTAATTCGTCATTTCGTTTGCCGACCCATCACATAAAAAAAATACCTATCCAATGATGTTATTATGTATATTATTAACACCAACTATATCTATCTCTCTCTTTCATTACAGGTATATGCCCCGTAGTTTCGAATCTTGACATCCGGCCTCTCACTCGCACACAAACAAGACTGACACACTTAGTTTATTAGCTGTAAGGTGAAGTATTTTTTGTGGGTAGATGGCGCTAGTGTCGTTTTAGGTCGCCTCAGATTAAAGTGCCAGAAGTTTCCTGTATTCTTAAAGTGGGTCATCAAATGACTTCTCCCGCCCAGGGTAAGGTGAGAGAGAGTGTCAGACTCTTACTGACTAAAAACTCCCCCGATCCTTCTCCTGCTTTAGGCCGAGGCTGCGGTGCCTCGTTGCGCTTACCCCGCAACCCCGGCTGAACATGAGCCCTATAGGGCCACGTCTGTAGTGGTCTATAGGCTTAGCAAACCCTCAAGCGAACGCCGGCGTTCGCGCACCTATTGTACTTCAATTGTATCTCGAATAACCACGGTTGAAAAGTTAAAGAGGTTCAGGTTTTGGAGGTTCAGAGGTCTTCTGGGAATAATAGGCCTGGTGGCTAGTACTTTTACTCTGTCCTCGCTTGGTTTTTGTGTTAATATTAATATATTATTATGTATCATAACTCCAAACTTGACCAAAACCTAATACTAATCTTGATGGCGCTGTAGTCGTCTTTGGCGTCATGATGTAAAGAGAATTTGTATGGAGAAAATAGTTCTCGAAAAATCCGCTGTATGTTCTCAATATATATGTAGATATATCCTATATATGTATGTGGTAACTAGAAATATAATTTTGACATATTTTTTAATTGCGATAATCCTATTAATATTATAAATGTGAAATTTTGTGAGAATATAATATAAGCATGTAGGTATTTTTATTATACTTTAATGCAAATACGGCTGGACCGATTCAGTTGAAATTTGGTATGTAGATAGGTTTATTAATACATAGCTTTGTATCAACATACCACGCGGACGAAGCCACGGGCGGAAGCTATAGTGTCTGTATAGTACGACTATTTGAAAACAAATAAAATTTAATATATTTGTTGCATTTTCGAAACTAAGTATTTTTTGTTTATATGTATAATAACATCTATTAAATAGTGGAGTTATTTAGTATCAGCATTACACCCGTGCGAAGCCGGGTCGGGTCGCTAGTATATGTATAATATGATGAAGTATTTCTTGTTTCATTTTTTTAAGCCAGATTTTTCAATAGTCAGATAAATGTTGTCTGAGCAATAAAATACGGTTGTTTCCAACTAGTCAAATTCAATACTTTTATCCAAACGTCAAAAACGATACGTTTCTATGAAATTAGTATTTAAAACCGAGCTATGACGTCATAACTTTTTTGCGTCAAATAGCTTCCTTATTTCTTAATAATTAGCAAAAAAAAACTAAAAAATAGTGTATCGATCGATCGATGAATAAAAGTATAGTTATTTTATTGTATTGAAACGTCGAAATAATTTATTCTTGATCTAGGAAACTACCCAATTGTTGCTGTCACTGTCTTATACAAACATTGTGACGCGACAGCATCATAATTATTCCCCAGCTAACTTTTATGTAACCATTGAAAAATCAGCTCTAAGTAATTAAATTTTATTTTAATTGTTTTTGTTTTTATTTATTGTCGTGTTTAACGACTTATTCGCCTATTTGTTTTTAATTAAGGGCTGATTTTTCAATGGTTAGATAAAAGTTATCTGGGGGTTATTTTTTCTTCGTTGAACATAAGCGTAACTGCTAAGAAGTCGTGACTTGGATTTGTAATTCAAAAATGAGATTTTTTATTTAGAATATTTCTGCAATTCGGTAGTTTCCGATAACGGAGCGTCCATAAATTACGTGTGGTGTTAAAGGGGGGGAGGGAGTCGAGTCAAATCTCATCTAATCTTACGTTGGAGAGAGGGGGGGTCTCGGCAAATATCACGCAATTATTTTTCTGATTGTAACAAAAAATATATACTATTTCGGTCTATTTAATCCAGATTGTACATGCGTAAGATTTAATCTTAAGCGTAATCGTAGTACGATTAAGATCATTTACTAATAAAAGGACGATGCAAATTTGTATGAAAAACTGAGTTATGACATCATAGTTTTTTACGTCAAATAGCTTACTTATTTCTTAATAATTAGCTATAAAATATCTAAAACATACACCCGGTTTGCGAGAGGCCGATCAATGTTAAAATCAATTTAATCTCTTGTCAAGTCATCTGATTTGTTGACTGAATTATCAACAACCAATCTAAGATGACTTAACAAGTGATTTAACAGGAGATTAGTTAATTTTAGCGTTGACAAGCCTTTCAGAAACCGGGTGTTTAATCTTAAGCGTAATCGTAGTACAATTATGATCATTTACTAATAAAAGGACGATGCAAATTTGTTTTTTTTTTTTACAATAACAATCCAACGTGTTTACATAAGAAAGTCACATTTCGAAAAATCTCACGTGAGATTCAGGGATGGGGTAGGGGGTTGAATAAAATCTCACGACATCTCACCAGGGTAGGGGAAGAAAATTTAAAAAAACACCTCACGTAATTTATAGACGCCCCCTAAGTCAAATTCAATAGTTTTAATGAAATTTCGAAAACGATACATTTAGTACGACTGCTCATATTTCAGAAAAAAATATTGCTTGAAAAAATCTAACATTAAGTATATCCGAAAAACAATATGTAATTGAAAGAATACTATGATAATATTTAAATACTTCATTGTAATGAAAAGTCAACAGAATTTCTTATTGACATCGGAAACTACCTAAGACGGTAGTTTCCAACTAGTCAAATTCAATACTTTTATCCAAATGTCAAAAACGATACTTTTCTATGAAATTTGTGTGAAAAACTGAGTTATCACGTCTTAGTATTTTTGCGTCAAATAGCTTTCCTATTTCTTAATAATTAGCTACAAAAATATCTAAAACTTTGTACATATATCGATCGATCGATGAATAAAAGTATAGTTTTTTTTTTCAATATTTTATTGTATTGAAACGTCGAATTAATTTATTTTTGACCTAGGAAACTACCCAATTATTATTATTAATTCCATACTCGTATGTGAAATTGTTGGAGTCAATATTGTATATATACATAATATGTCGATGTGAAGAGCTTCAGAGATTAAGGCCGATTATTTTTAATTTAAAATTAATTTTTCTAAAATATGGTTGTGTATTATACAAGTATAGGTAATGTACTATAATTATTTATTTAAAACTATATAACTTTGTTTTTTTTTTGTTAAGAAAAATATCATTGAATACTTTTAACGATTTTAGGGTGAATTTTAAATATAAAATTTTAACAGCATTTACGCGGTATGGATTTTTATTGAAAATTTTAAATATAAAAACTTGGGCCCCCTTATTACAAAAGAAGATCTATCTTAATTATTATGTTTTCGGCTTACTCACGTAATAATTTGACGAGATACTCGACTAGTTTCAAGCCATGTCCATATTCATGAGCAGCATTTCGCGACACGCGACTCGACGACTGTCGCGCTGCTAGAATATGGGCCTTTAGCATGGCTTGAAACTAGTCGAGTATCTCTTCAAATTATTACATGAGTAAGCCTAAAACATAATAATTAATTTAGAATGTCTCACGAAAGTTATAATAAAAAGATGTATCTTTAGTCCAGGTTTAAACCATTGAGTCAGGTTTTGTATTTTGAATCTTATCCTTACCTACTTTCAATTTGAAATAAAAAAAATAGCTCAACGGTTTAGACCTGGACTAAAGAAAACATTGTTTTGTAATAAGGCCCGGGAAAGTTTGTACGAAAGACCTGAGCTGTGTAAATCTTGATTGTGTATTAACTGCCAATATTATTAAAATTATAAAATATTAATATTTTAATAGTCATAGTTTTAAAATGTGAACTATTTACTTGATATTCAAACCTTCTCTTTTTAAAATGGACATTAGAAGGAGCCCGCGATTATAGAAAGAGACTCGTAATGTAACCTTTTTATTAAAGTGGATTTTTAATTGTTTTTGTACCTACACCTACTATGTCCACTTGTTTGGATTACTTATTAAGTATATATTAAATAGTATAATGGGTATTATACGTAGATATGATTCTTGTAAATATTTAGCAAATAAAATGCGGATTTTATTTTTAATAATAATATAAAAATAAATTTATTCTGTTACACTTTTTTCTGTTTTATTTTTTATCTGCTGCTCTAGCTGATTCCGTCGTCTTGTCATGTCGTGGTGGCCTGGACTTATAACTTTTAATATGAGTTCGGAATCGCCTTGAGCAAGTGTAGTGAAAAACACCTAAACCTTTGGGCACTTATAGGCTTATGATGTGATGATCCCGCGGGTAGGCACGCTATTCAATTTTTAAGCATCGTCATTGCGTGATGTTTTATAGCCAAGCTTTCCTCGGTAAAATGGTCTAAGTAGATATACACAGCAAAATTACTTTTTTCAATAATTGGAAATAGACGTTCCTGAGATCGATCGAATCAAACAAAGTTTTCAGCTTTACATTCTTAATACAAACTAAAATTGTATTACGCCATAGAACGCCCTGACGTATTATGACCATAGCAAATGTATGAAATCGGTATTCTTCTGGAGCTCGGTGTTTAAAATCGCCAATCTGCCTTATGCAAGCGTGGCGATTAACTCTCATTCATTGTCCTTGCTACATCGATCACTAATAAAGAACTAGATACACAATCAGTGACAAAAAAATGTCCTAACTGAAAGTCCACCAAACTCAACATCGCGGTGTAGTTTTAGTTTAGTACCACTCGAATGCTCCGACGGTAAACACGCCTCAGTGCTCGTTTAAAAACTGCAAAAAACACACATCTAAGACGCAAAAAAGGATGGAATTTCATATTTTCGTTAAGTAATAATATTATCATTATATATTATTGTCATCATTCTATTTTAAATATTGATATTTTATTAAGAAATCAACTTTAAAACTTTTTCCAAATGAAATCGTATTCAAAAACCGGGGTTATAATGCACACAGTTTATAAAGACACTGATACTAAACGTAAAATCATTCTCTAGCATGACCACTTAAGTTGTTCGGTTTACGTGGATTGATTCTGTTCCGTTTAGCGGAGACGCTATTGTTTCTAATTTTATTTATTGTTTTTTTTTTATTAAAAATAGTTTTTATTTAATATTATACTTCTTTACTGTGTTTATTAAAATATGGAATAGGCAGATATAATGGATTTAATTTTAACTGCAGTAAAGACATTTTTTTTTAGCTTTCATCAAAAAACCCGTGCGATATGAAAAATTGACAACACTAACGCCAACATTTTCAGTACTTACTTTAGATATATATTCTTTTTATTATTTTACATCTTTTTTATTTGACTTCGAATTTGGAATATTTTTCAAAGTATGCATATATACTTTGAAAAATATTCCAAATTTAGGAAGGATTAAGGAGGACGAAAATAATAAAAAAAAATAACTGTATGCATTAGTTTTATTGGTAAATAAATGAACAAACCTATAGAAAAGAATACTATAAGTAATTTTCGTATTTTTTTTATAAATTATCAAAAAAAAATTGAAAGAAATATATTTATTACGAGACATTTCGACTCCAATCATTCTTTGTCCTAGGGGTGAGCCGAAGTCGTTAAATTTTATTGCTCATTTTTGACACATTGTAAATTTGACTTAAAAACATTCGAATATGGTTCAATTTCTTATGATTTATGCAAAAAATGTTTAGATTCCGTATATTCCGTATAGGGATGTATCCCCGCCGACACTTCACAATCACACTCTTGACTTTTGGTTGGTTATTTTTGTAAAAGGAAATAAAACAAAAGTATTATTAATAATCACAGATTATAAATTAAAGTCAAGAAATTTCATATTTATAAAATAATAATGAATTTCGTAAATAATAACATGGCATTTCAAATCAAAATATTGCTGTTTAGAATAACGGAAACTGTTATTTTCAAAAAATAATACAGTCACTTTTAGTTCATACATCAATATGAAAAAAGGTCATTTTGTCAGTAAAAATAAAGTGAATTTCTCTTTTTATATTTCTTAACTATGTTTTTTATACTAATTATTTATTGGACCCGTTTAAAATATTAATTAGGCAGGTCTCGTTTACGCGGTCTATGGGTTTAGATTGATAACTAAAGGTAAACAATATTAGTATGTCTTTTTATATTAAAGAGCTCGTATAAAATACATACAAAGATTATTCAAATTAAGTTTATGAGCTAACATCGATTTAGGTAAATACCTGATTGTAAACATTTTTACATACAATTTTTAAACAACTTTTACATAAAAAGACATGCCAAAATCATTTACATTTAGGGCTGATTTTTCAATGGTTAGATATAAGTTACCTGGGGAATAATTATGATGCTGTCGCGTCACAATGTTTGTATAAGACAGTGACAGCAACAATTTTATTCGTCAAATAACATTTATTTGACTTTTGAAAAATCAGCCCTTATTTATTGAAAGCCCTTAGTCTATACCTAAACTGGTGTCACAATTTATTTATGACGTACTCAACGCGCCGCATCCCTATATCTGAGGCCAGAGAGAGAGCTAAATTACATAAAATTAATTTGTAAATCTATACTAATATTATAAAGAGGTAAAATTTGTATTTCGTATGTAGGGGGTAACCTTTCAAATCGATGGTCGGATTTCCAAAATTCTTTTACTGATAGATAGCTGCAATATTCCTTAGAGCCTTTAAAACGGTTAATCTCGCTAGGATTAACTGGACCCGAGCAGTGAGAATTGCTAGTTATTAATATGGCTTTTTAATTTTTTTATTGTGAGGGAAAAATCATCATATTACTTCTCCCGCCCAGGTTGAGGTGGGAGTAACTCAGACTCTTATTGACTAAATCCTCCATTCCTTTTCCTGCTCTAGGCCAAAAGTCGCGGTGCCTCATTCCATTCTGGGAGTCATGTGTTAAAGAGGTAAACAAGCAGACGGATCACCTGATGGTAAGCAAACGGCTCCGCTCATTGACACCCGTTACTCCAGACGTTACAAGTGGGTTGCCGGCCTTTTGGGTAGTCTGTGAGGCCGTGTCACTTAAACAGGCAGATTTTAACTTGAGACTTAAGGAAAGTGGGTGGAACTTCTGCTATTGAAGGGTTAACCTTCTAGAAATGACAGGTTCTCAAAATAATAGCGCATTTTGCTTCAAAATTACCATGGCTCACATAATTCATACTTTTCAAGGCATTCTATAAGCCAGCCAACAGGCAAAGCTTTCAAATGTTGCATGTTGTACATCGGTTCATACATGTCTTTAAAAATAATATAATGGGAACAGTATACTAATTTTCCATCCTTCTTCGCATGGTATGGCACCAATTTCTCATTCTCTGGTATCAATTCTGGGTTTGGAACCCTCCTTAGTACTATACCACCAGCATCCGTAATCAACTTTGTCAAAATTGCCTTAGTCAGTACTACGGTCTTGGATATCTCATACTTCGTATTAAAATTATGTAAATAAAAATGGCAGCCGTTAAAGATGCCTGGTAGTTGCTTGTATTTTATGTACCGTGAGTTTCGTGGTCCGTTGTAAGTTGTAGTTCCTACCCCTTTCACTTCGTAGTTCTCTAAGGGTTCCAAGTTATCCTCGGTAGATTTTGTTGTCCATTCAGACGAAATAACCCAGATGTGATTGACTATAGCTTGAAGAACGTCCAAGCTGGAGGAGCATATTCCGTCTTCAGCATCAACTATGATATGAGTTACTTTTTTAGTGATCTTCGCTTCAATGTTGAGATTACTGTGATGTTTTGCTAAGAGCTTCAGTTTATTATGAACTGTGCGATACTGAGAGACGCAGTAAATACGGATATCATCAGATTCTATCTCCGAATACAACGCAGCTATATGAGAAATGTTAATACTCTGTGTTTGTAGTATATGTTCTCCTGCAGCCCGCAGTCTATTCTTCAGATCCATGGAAGCAAGTTGATATGGAGTTTCTCCCTTACAGTTTTTAGCGTGCATGTCCGCACCATGTTTTACCAATTCCTCTGCAATTTCAACATGGTTGTATCGCACGGCTTCATGTAGAGGAGTCTCATTGCCTTGTCCAGGCACATCAATTAAAGTATTATACTGTAAAAGTAGCAGCACAAGGTCCAGTCGTCCGTTTTGCACTACTTCATGCAAAGGAGTCCAGCCTGCATTATCCTTTGTGTTAGTATTAGCGCCTAATGTCAATAATTCCTTGATCCTGTCAATTTTACCGAGTCGGCAACAAATATGGAGGGCGGTCTCACCTTTATTGTTGCGTTTTTCATTGTTTTTATTGTATTTTGAACTCACATTGGAGTTCAAAGTCTCACTTAAGTCTTGACGGGAGTTCGTCTTGTCAGATAAAGGCTTCTTAGAGCTAGATACAGTGCTTACTACTTTAGTTGGTGCAGTAACAACGTCATTTTTCTTAGTTTTCTTACTTGAAGTCACACTTACTTCTTTCGGTCGAAAAGTCTCGAACATCTTATTCAATTCGATAGTGGAGTCAATGCATCCCTGGATACGATCATCTACGAACGTTTCGCAGTTATCAAGAGGTATTTTGCAAGTTGGACAGTGTTTTAAGTCGGTATGAACAGCGCATATAAGATGGAAACATTTCTTCAATACAACTGGTTCTTTACACAACTCGTTACACACACCGCACACGTAATCACTGTTTACAGCATCTAATGCCTTCAGAAACTTGTTTAAGTTAGCAGTATTCATTTTTAAAGGAAAAGCTCTATTTGTTTTTCTCTCGCAAAGTTTTCATGCCGCGGGAAAATGAAAATTGCTTGTGATTGTGACGTTTTTGACATTGTCATTGACATACATTGAGTGACAACAGAAAGCTTTTGTCTACTGATATTCTCATTAGTTTGACCAACCGTAGAAAATCCGCAGATCCCAGTGTGAACCTGATTTTAACTCGGTATATATATGTAATGTATTAATTGTTCAAGATCTAAAGAACAAACTAATTTTCGTTATGTCACACCAGTCTTCTGTGAATAAATGGATGCTGATTGATAGATTGGAAGTATGCGAGCGGCCTTGAGCTGTTATGGGTCACATATTTATTTTATTTTATTTAGGTATTTATTCTTTATTTATATTCAATTGCATATCTAAGGACTTAATGCTACAAACATCTTCTGCCAGTCAAACTTTTGGTAGTACAGAGATGTGTGGTAGGTGATATACAGCAATTTAGAAAGTTACGGGAAGTGGAGATGTAAGTACCTAAATTAATTCTAAGTTACATACATAAAAATAATATAATAAACCATACATATAATTGCATTTTATTACATTAAATATAAACACTGATACACATAATATAAATAAATACTAATAATATAATGTGGACAAATAATGCAAGTGCAAGCTTACATATGAGACCGAGATAGAGAGAAAAACATATAATTATAAGTTTCCAGGGCCCTTAATTAATGTGTCCTTTGCATGGTAGTCAACAAAAAATACTCAATTTGAGAAAATAAATCTTGCAGTCAGAGCGTTATTCTCAAGATCATTTGCACCGCTTCCAGAATAAATAAACATTTCATAAAGTTCAACTCGTGTTAATGAATTAAAACTATAGAAATACAATAACAACAAATTAATAAATAAATCACCACATAGTATAGAACAAAATTGCTTAAATCTTTAAAACTAGGCAACGGATTTTGATGCGTTTTATAATAGCGCTTTTGCCCGCGGCTTCGCTCGCGTTAAGAAATATTATTATTAATTACCTAGGTATAGTTTTGAGGCTTTACTTTTGTTTAGCGTGTGTTGAAAATTAAGGCCTCATCTCCATAATTTTTTAATTTTAGCTCAATCAGTCGATAATTTAAGAAAATTTATACAAACTTTGATCCCCTATTTTATCCCCTTAGAGGGGGAATATAACAAAATTCTTTCTTAGGGTACCTATGTAGGCATAACGTACAACAAACTTACGCATAACGTAGGCTTTATGCATGCAAGCAAGGTCTCAGCCCGATCGGTTTAAAACTGACAAAGTTTCATACAAATTTTCATCCCCTTTTTTATCCCCTTGAGGGTAAAATTAATCAAAATCCTTTCTTAGCGGATGCCTACGTCATAACATCTACAGTGGTTTGGGCTGTGCGTTGATAGATCACTATATCAATCACCTTTGAGTTTTATATATTTAGAATAGATAGATTAACAACTCTAGCGCGGTTTTACCCGCTGCTCGGCTCTATTTGATCGTAGCTTGATGTTTTATAACCTATATCACTCAGAAACATTGTAGCTATCAGTAAAAGAATTTTGGCAATCCAACCAGCGGTTCCAAAGATTATCCCCTACATACAAACTTCAAAATACCTCTTTATAATATTAGTATAGATATGAATGATTGAAGAGGAAGGTTTATCATTAAGTATATTAACATATATTAATTATTAAATAGTGGAGGAATTTAGTATCAGCATTGAACCTATGCGAAGCCCGGGCGGGTCGCTAGTATTAGAATATTTAAAAAAAGGTTCATGTAATATCCACGTTAACCTTTTTTTTAATATTCTGCTTGCCGCACCGACTCTTTAAAGGGGCTTTTATGAGTAGAATAAAATAGGGGTTCATGAACAATAAGGGTATCATGGAATAATTATTCCTGACCGGCCCATTATATGGTTGTATTTACGTTGAGTTTTAAAGTGAAAAAGTGGATACCTACATAATTGGTAGGTACTTTTATCTTATGTTCATAAGAACCTATTTACCTATATTGCTATAATTTATTTGGCAAAACTTTAAGCGCAGAAGAATGTGTGAGCTATAGTCAATAACTTCCCGCTATTGATATTCTATTAGATCTGGATGTGGTTAGCTCACGAGCCTTGAACCACTATACGGGTCAAGCACAATAAGGTACTGAGGCCCTGGGCGGCCTGAAGTAGGAGAGATTTAGTGAGTAAGAGTCTGACAGACCAATAACTATTTTGTTATTTTTTTGAGAGGTGATATGCGATGAAGGGAGTTACTAAAAACCCGGTCCCATTCCTTCTCCAGCTCTGGGCCGAGGTCGCGGTGCCTCATTGCGCTTACCCCGCAACCCCGGCTGAACATCAGCCCTATTGGGCCCCGTCTGTGGTGGTCTATTGGCGTACGCTCGGGTCTGGTCCTGGTCGGGCGGCGAGCTACCCTTGCTCGCCGTCATACGGTGATCATCTGCGGCGGCTTTGGCGTAAGGAGGAGGATAGCTCCGTCACGCGGTCCGCTTCCTTCTTTGCGAGCATAACTGCTATACAGAAAGACGACTTCCTCTCGCACTATTGTGCTCATGTTATTCAAAAAATACAAGGCAACATTCGCTCAACAAATGGCACTAAACACCATTAGGATTACCTATTTGCGCCATAGAAAAGTCTGCGTTCCATGTCGTGGTTGGATCAAGGAACACACGGATGTGATGAGACTGATAGGATGGGCATGGAATTCATAACATTACTAAAGAATAGTCAATTTGACATTGTTTTTACAATATCTTCTAATCAAGAGTAGACCTTTCCTAGTCTGGCAATATATTGTTTGTACTTTTTTCAGTCAAAAGTGATGTTTTAGTAGGGTAAGAAAAAAACAACAATTTAAAAATATAAAAATCTGTACATTTATTTACTTATATCACAAAGCCTTTTTGTTAATTAAAAAATTTATAACATTAACTATTTATTAAAAATACGACTAGAGTTACCAGAAACACGAACAAAGATGGCGTCGTTTTGGCGCCAAATCCACATGTAAAATCTGTCACGTTCGACATGGCTAATTCGAAATTGTATGGGATTTTGTTGTAAGGATGAGTCGATAAAACGTTAATTGTGGCTAAACTCTTAGTATTTGAATGGAAAATGACTTCCATTTCGTGATTAAAAGGGCCATACATGGAAAACATGGCATTGTGGAAAGGTGGATGTTTGCCAAACAATTGGTCTAATTTTGTGAAGACGTTTATGATCTCATGTCTGCGAATGTTGGTGATGTTGTTGGCGACAAATATGTGACCCAAGTTTGACCAGCTGACGAAACAGAATTTCTGGTTTCCTTCAGGACAGAGAGGGACGATTTTCTTAATGGTCTCTGAAGCTTTGTTGTTTTCTGAAAGAGAAAAAGATGATGACATGGTTGGTATCTATAATAGGGTATAACAAAAACAATATTGTTCTATGAATCTGTAAAATATTTTTTTTATCACTTTTTTCAATAGATTTTAAGTCGTCATAAGGATGGCATTTTTATCATAAAAGTTGATACAAAACCAACAGAAATGTTTACTGTTGGCACTATTATCGGAAGCCCAATCCCTTAATCCCCTAATCCTCATAACCCCAAATCCTCAAATCCCCAATCCTCTAATCCATACAAGGCCTGCAACACACTCATAACTCCTCCAGTGTTGTGAGTGCCGAAGGGCGATCGCTTACATACGTGATCCGTATGCTTTTTTACCGCGATACTCCTAGCGTGTAAATCCTCTATAATCTCCAAGGTTGGCAGTTTGGAGAAGAACCAACTACATCTATATAAACTTACTTTCGGGACGAAACAACGAGATTTATATGAGCTTACCTTTATAAGTATTAAAAGTCTTCATACTGATAAAGGCAACATCGCTGTTACCGTCCAAGAGGGATTTAAGCGCTTCTTCTTCCCCGGCCTCATAACATTTCTTTCCGTCCATGCCAGGGGCACAGACTTCTTTAAAATATTCCTCTACATAATCTTTACAGGACATTTTTTCATGTTTCATTATGTAATCTTTGACGGAATGCCAAGCGACGCCATCGTAACGCGGGAACGCGGCTCTTTTCCCGCGCAAGTCCGCCATTTTGGTTATTTCTGCGTCCTTATTTACGTAGGCTACTATCGAACCAGTTTTTTCTACTATTGGTGTTATTTCGTTTAGTATCGGCGTGAGGGCGTAGTCTCTGAAAATAAAAAAATATAAATGATAACTATTCATTTTACAGTTCTTCTTTTGGAAGGTTTTAAAACAGCAGAAAATGACTTTGGGATTTGAATCCTGCTCCGGGCCGAAGTGTTTTTTTTTTTTTGAGGTGCAGATCATCAAATTACTTTTCCCGCCCAGGGTCGGGCGGGAGGAAGTGTCAGAGTCGTACTAACTATATAAAAACCCCGCAACATTGCGCTTACCCCGCAACCCCGGCAAACTTATTTGTCCCCATCTGTGTTGGTCTAATGACTTCTAAGCCGCGCGGAACGCTAAGCACCTTACGCGACGGGTCTGCTTCTGGTCGGGTGACCAGCTACCCCTGTTCACGTCCGTAGTAGGTACTGTGACAGGAGTTCTTCGTGAGATATCCAATGCCCGGAATATCTCCTCCTGTAGCAGCTAATGCGTGAATCCATTCTTCATAGGTATCTCACTAGATCCACCTCCTTCATTCCAAGCAAACACTGTTTGCTTGCTAACAGAAGAATGGGTTAGCTTCCCTACAGAAGAATGAGTTGGCTGCCAAATTCCTCTCGATAGCTAGAATTATAATAAACAGATTACAAACCTGATCCCAGCCACCAGCCAATCGCTGTCAGCGGCAGTAGCATCACACTCCCCGTTGGAGACAGCCTTCAGACACTCCTCGGTGCTGCTCCTCATGATGCACTGGAGAGGGGGCGCTATACCATACACTGCGCCAGCCTCGCTCAGCCACTCGCATTTGTTCTTAGCAAGAAGTGAGGTCGTACAGAATGTTATGTGTCTGAAAATAGACATTTGGAATTTTGTAAGATTTGGTCCGAATTAACACAGTAAGCGCGTTTTCTAATTAATTTTCTACGGATTACACAAAAATATCCCTCAATCTCCAACTAAAAATATTTTACACTGAGTCTGATAACTTGAACGAAATCTTCATATTAAGCATTGGAGAGCCATACTTCGAATGGGTCGGCTCGACCGGAGTAATATCACGGCTTCACTGAAAGCCGGTATGAAACAATCACAGCATTGTGTTTCGCCGTGTGAGTGAGATTTCTACCCAATTCTACTCCTGTCCCAAACTCTCCCTAATCCCAAAATCTGAAAAACCCAAATCCCCAAAAGGTCAAATCGGCAACGCACTCGTTACTCATCCGTTGTTGCGGCCATGGTCCATGGTCGGTATCAATTGCTTACCATCGGTTAGTCCGTAGACTCGTTTGAAATCCTATCACCTCAAAACAAACCATTCCCGCACCTGGGTGGATCACAACCAGCTTGACTGTACGCCTCCCTAAACCCTTGAGCTTGAGCCAAATAGTCCATGGGAGCTCTTGGAGGATGTAGAGGTTCTGGTAAGGCCTGGTTGCTCTCAAGTAAAGCTGAAAGCGCTCCTCTCCAGTGCCGGTCTACTGTCACTGAGCTGTTAGTCAAGGATTGAGTCAATTTGCTTACAGCTTCCGACGCTTTCCTGCGAAAAAGATGGAGATTTTTGAGTTGAAATCATCGTTTTGTTTGGCCCGAAGGATAAAATGCCCATTTCTCATGCATGAGAGTTCTGGTTAGGGGAAAGTTATCAAATCGTCTCTCCCGCCCAGGGTGGGGCGAGAGAAAGTGTCAGACTCTTACTGACTAAAAACCCACCCGTTCCTTCTCCTGCTTTAGGCCTAGGCCGCGGTGACGTATTACACTCACCCCGGCTTGTGTATGAGGGTGCGAGAAAGCCTGGCAAGTACTAATGTGACTTTTTCCCGAGTTATATAAATGTACTTTCTATGATTATTAAGACACCACTGTCATACGGTGAAGGTAAACATCGTGAGGAAACCTGGACTTATAATTTCTAATTATAAGTTTGAAATCGCAAATCCGCCTTGAGCAAGCGATGTGATTATTGTTCTCAAATCTTCTCTGTGTGAGAAGAGTTAGTTCAGTTATGGGCAGATGATAAAACTGCAATTTTCAAAAGTTAATTTGCGAAATCACTACTGAATCCACATTGAAACCATGTTAATTTAAAATTTTGTATTGCCAAAATGGAGTGAAATCTACATACATTTCTACATTGGCGCCACCATGTGAATAACGAAGTGAAAGGAACTAAAACAAGTGAGTATTTTGACGTTTGTGTACAGGCGAGATGAGAAGCGAAGTGGTGTGTGACTTTCGAGGTGATTTTCGAGATGAGATTTACCATTTACAGGATAGCTTTTCCGTTTCAAATTTTTTAGCGTTTACAAAATTACAATTATATGTTTGAAATTGCCAGTTTGGCTGTCTTATACGCATATCTCTGTGCCAATTACAACCTTTGAATCCTATAAAAGATGATTGATATAAAAATATAGATGAATTGCTAGCAAGAATGCTTGTTGTCATTAAGCCTACCTATGTACTTTGTGCATCATTATCAGCCTATAAGTGCCCACTGCTGAGCAAAGGCCTCTTCTCATACGGAGAAGGTTAGAGTATTAATCACCACGCTTGCACAATGCGAGTTGGCGATTTCAAACTTATAATTAGAAATTATAAGTCCAGTTTTCCTCCAGAGGTTTACCTTCACCGTATGTCAGTGGTGTCTAAATAATCATAGAAAGTACATATAACTCGGAAAAAGTCACATTGGTACTTGACAGGTTTCGAACCCACACCCTCATGCATGAGAAGCGGGCGCCTTAACCTCCAGGCCACCACGACACACACTTTGTGCATAAAGGTATATAAATAAATAGAAATGTAATATACCTTTTAGCAACAATAACGTTCCATGGCTTCCGCAGCCAGATGCAGGGTTCCTGCGTCAGGTCTCTCCAAGTCCCGTCACGACAGAGATAAGCGAAGTTTTCATAGCCAGTAAGCGGTTCACCTTCTTTGATCTGAAATCAAAATTTTATTATTTTAAACCAATCGATCGAAATCTGAAATATAAAATTATAAAGTTGAAGAGTTTGTTTGTTTGTTTGAACGGGCTAATCCCAGAAACTACTGGTTCGAATTGAATACATCCATAATTTTATTGTTGTTTTTAAGATTACAGCTTGCTTACCTTAAAATAAGTCCTGACATCATCAGCTTCGCCCCACGTGACGTCACCAGCGCCATCTGTGAGACAGGTCAGGGAGCCAGAGTTTCCCCAGTAGATGTCGCCCGCCATGCAGGTTTTGGCGCACGCCGCGCATAATGAGGGATATTGACGTTCTGGAAGAAAATGCTTATTAAAACAATTATACCTATTTTAAGCCTTCCAATCGTGGTAATTAGAGACATAATACAGGTGTGCGAACGCTGGCGTTCGCTTGCTTGAAGTTTGATTAATAAAATAATAATTTCCTCCACTTTGTAATTTTCTCCTGTGTCTGGAATGGATCACCTTGTGGATCACACAAAGAGCGAAGAAGAAAGTGCAGGCATCGAACCCACGACACGTTGCATGGAAGCTAGTTTTACAGCCACCGCATCAACCGTGCGGTCATTAGCTGCCCACTACTATGCAACGCGAGTTCTATTTCACAAATTGTAATTTCAAGTCTGGGTGTGACGCGCCTTAAAGAGCCAGTAGACCACCACAGACGGGGCCCTATAGGGCTGAAGTTCAGCCGGGGTTGCGGGGTAAGCGCAATGAGGTACCGCGGCCTCGGCTTAGAGCAGGAGAAGGAACAGGGAACATCTCGCCTCACCCGGTTTACAAAAAACCGGCGTGAAATAACCACAGCGTTGTGTTTCGCCGTGTGAGTGAATTTGGACGGAAGCCCAATCCTTCCCCTCCAATCTCAATATCTCCAAACCCCTAATCTTCAAAAGGCCAGCAACGCACTCGTAACGCCTCTGTTTTTGCTGGTGTCCATGGTCAGCGCTGATTCCTTACTTTTGCATCAGGTTTGCCGTCCTATCACATAAAAAAACACCGTATGCTCCACCATGACCTCCGGATGGGCCTTTCCAGTGCCACCAGGGTGTTTCTTCCTGCTGAATCCGAAGCAATTCCCTCTCAAAAAAGCCGTGACCGGTGTCAGTACGTTCGCTAAGACTAAGTGACTTACTCAGTTCAGCATCTCTTGTTCGATCAGGTACCCATGGACCAGCCTTGCACGCCTTCCCGTAGAAGTCAGCTAGAGCCTTCAGCCTATTCTCCGTATGAGACCGGGTTGGATCACAGGATCTTTCTAGAACTAGGGTTTCTAGGTACTGAAAGGCAAAAAGAATGTAATTTATTATTGGAGTTAAGATGCTTGGCCCTAAAGACCAGTAACGCACTTCTAACTCCTCGGGCTAGTATTGCGGGATGATCATGAACAGCGCTGATTGCTTACCATCACGTTTTAAAAAATGGGAGAGCTATGCTTCAGCGGGTAATGGGCTTTTTTGTGAGGGGGAAATCATCAAATGTGGGAATGTCAGACTCTTTCTGACTAAAAACCTCCCCGTTCCTTCTCCTGCTCTGGGCCGAGGTCGCGGTGACTCATTGCGCTTACCCCGCAACCCCGGCTGAACAACCCTATCGGTCCCCGTTATGGTGGTCTATTTGCTCTTTGAGGCGCCCCCGAAATGCTACGCGCCTTACGCTCGGGTCTGGTTCTGGTCGGGCGGCGCGCTTCCCAGTCCGCAGACCCGCGCTTAAGCGAATAATGGGTTGGAATGTGAAAACCTCGGCCTTACGCTTGGGTGAGATTACTGGAGGCCCAAATGCATACTATGACATTAAAAACACTCTTCTGCAGTGGAAGCCAACAAGCCAATTCTCATGGATGATACATACCGCAGATAAAGTCTCGCTGAGAGGTCGGAGGTCATCCATGGACTCTCCAGGGTGGCAGAGGGTACTGTTCTTCAGAACTGCGTGCAACGTTGACGAGTCGTCCGGCAAGATGCGTCGGTTCACAACCGCTACAATATTGCGTGCAAATGGTCCTGGAATAATTAATGTTTTGGTTAAATATTGAGTAATTAAGAAGGTTTCCACCTTTTTGTCTGTAAGCGACAACACCGTGGCTTCATGCAACTCTGCCCTTTTTTTATATGCTCAATGTGACCGTAAGACTTCTCTTTATCCAGGGTTGCGGGGTAAGCGCAATGAGGCACCGCGACCTCGGCCCAGAGCAGGAGAAGGAACGGGGAGGTTTTTAGTCAGTGAGTCTGACACTTTCTCCCACCCCACCCTGGGCGGGAGTCAGTTGATTATTTCCCCTCTCAAAAAAAGACTTCGCTTTATAGAAAATTTCAGGAGTCCTTACTTAATCAGCATCTGCATTTGACCTCTTTAGGGGCACGCCCGAAGTGAGAAATTTGTTTTTAGACAGACAGACATCGGGAGAAGTGACGCTATCCTCTCTCTATCCCTACTTGATAGTGTGGGGCTTCATCATCATCAGCCTATAAGTGCCCACTGCTGAGCCAAGGCCTCTTCTCACACGGAGAAGGTTAGAGCATTAATCACCACGCTTGCTCAATGCGGGTTGGCGATTTCAAACTAATAATTATAAATTATAAATCCAGGTTCTCTCACTATGTTTACCTTCACCGTATGTCAGTGGTGTCTAAATAATCAAAGAAAGTACTTATAACTCGGAAAAAGTCACATTGGTACTTGGGTTCCTTAATCTCCGGGCCACCACGACACACTGTGTGGTGTGTGTGTGGGACTTATATGCATGCTATTTAAATAAATACTTACTGGATCTAAATCTCAGTTCGTTTGTAACCAACACATCGATGTTCGCCCACTGCGCTGCCACCAGATCCTCGGGGAAGAAAACGCCAAAGTCCACAGTCCCTTTACTGATGCGACGGAGACAGTCCAACCTGAAAACAAATAGAAATTATAGGAGTTATATTTTATGACGACTTCTCATGTTGGCAAAGGGCATTCTTGGCCAAAACTCCCTACTTTCCCCATTGGTAAGGTAAGAGCCGATAATTACTGAAATAGATGGTTAGCTGTCCAAAACCGCGATTTTTGCAAAACTTCCTGCCTCGCACAGCATAACTTCGGAATGATTTTTCTCCAGCGGTATTTTTAACCGATACGACCTTCAAACCTTCAAGAAACGCTAGCGTACTCCTTCTTAAAAGGCCTAGAACGCGCCTGTGATTATTCTAGTGTTGCAGATCTCTATAGAGCGGCGCAGATCACTTACCTTCAGGTGATATGACAACAAGTTTGAGTCCGATTCTATAAAACAATTCTGATAAGCTCAACTCTTCAGAAGAAGTGATTCTGGCTGAGTCAGATGAAGAAGTGAATGGACTGTTTCGATTTTGAAAAGTAGAAAAAGAGCTATATTTGGCACGAACTGACTCAACAACTCTCAGAAAGAAAACCAAGAAGAGCCATAACATTAGCGTTATATGTATTTCAATTTATTGGAGGCCTTTTTTGTGAGGGAAAAATCATCAAGTGACTTCTCCCGCCCAGAGCTGGGAGTGAGGGAGTGTCAGACTCTTACTGACTAAAAACTCCCCGTTCCTTCTCCTGCTTTGGGCCGAGGTCGCGGTGCCTCATTGCGCTTACCCTGCAACCCGGCTGAACATCAGCCCTATAGGGCCCCGTCTGTGGTGGTCTATTGGCTCTTTGAGGCGCGCGCGGAACGCTACGCGCCGTACGCTCGGGTTATTGGAGGCCTAAGAAATTCTATATTACTTCGGTAACAACAAATAAATACCTGTCTGTGCCCAAAACGCACTCAACCCCAGCTTTCTCCTTGTCCAGTATTGGGCAATGCGTGGGTGCGCGCTTATACAGTCCACGGCCCTCCACTATGCAGAGACGCACTGCGAAAGAAAAAAGGATTATTTAGAAATCATGAATTTCTATCCAACCTCAAAGAAAACCGGCGTGTAGCAGAGCAGCGTTGTATATCACCCTATGAGTGAGGTTACCAGAGATCTTTCACGGGAACGAATAGCATCATCCCTAATTTCCTATGCCCCATCCCGTCCCAATCCCTAATCCTACGAAACCTCCAAAAAATGGCAAACTCACTTTTGCCAACTCCTTTGGTATTAGGAGTGTCCATGAGCGACGTCGGTCGTCGTCCAATTACCATCAGGTAATCCGTCAATTCTTTTGCCGACCTTTACACGTAAAAAATGATAGTGTTATCCAAAAATAATTATAGGCTTACTAGCTTTTGCCCGCAACTCCGTCCGCCTGCGATAATGACTTCCTGCAGATTTTTGGTATAAAAACTATTTTATGTCAAATGAAATCAAATCAAAATCATTTATTCCAACTAAACCATAAATAGGTACATTTGAAACGTTAAAATAGAATAGTAGTCTGTCAGTCTGTTCGTCAGTGAAGCTAGGTGCTCGTTCCGAATTGTTAGATTCGAATGGAGAAGAACGAGCAAGAAACTTCATCGTTACTCTTTTTAAAAAAAGAATCGATTCAGTAGTTTAGGCGTGAAGAAAAGACAGATCGACAGACAGAGCTACTTTCGCATTTATAATATTAAGTTTAGATTATCAATACACCATAAACAAATGATATATGTCCCATCACTCATCATAATTACAGTCAAATGGTGCCAAAAGCCTTCTCAACAATAAGATGAACGAAAATATTGCACAATGGTGTAGGTAACTTAAAACAATAATGATACTTATAGCCTTGACATAAAAACGAAAATAATTACTTAACACAAATACATAACCTCCCACATTTGTGATGTCGGTTAAAAGACGATTAATTTTGACTAGTATTTTATGAGCGATATTTATTGTTAGTCAAATGTAAAGTCAGCCGCGTTATTTAGCATGGAATAATGCGATAAGGGGCTTTGTTTGAGGGAGAAACCCACCTCCTCACGCCCCAGCCGCCGCAGTAGGCAACACTACGGGCGTCGGGCATCAAGAGACGATCTCCGGCCAACGTAAGTGGGGGACTTATACATTTCTAATTATGAGTTTGAAATCGCCAACCCGCATTGAGCAATTGTGGTGATTAATGCTCAAGCCTTCTCCGTTTGAGAAGAGGCCTTAATTCAGCAGTGGGCACTTATAGGTTGATAATGATGATGATGAGATAGATATGAAAGTTTTTATCATAATTAAACCTTGCGTCAATTTTCCATTTTGGTATTAAGTTATGATAATTTCATTCAGTTGACTGTAGGTACTTAGCTGAATAATTTACGTAAATCTGTCACTACTCGTTCATAAGCTCTTAAAAGCGAAATGCCAAGGATCATACTTATGTAGGTAGTACTAAGAGCTCTTACACACGAGCGGCATGTTCCCAACGGCAGAGGTAACTGCAGCCGTCGACGCGCGTCGGCGGCAATCGTCGACCGGTCGACGGCTGCCGCCAGTTGTAGTGGGCCGCGTCCGCCGTTTTGTAAGTCGACTGCAAATAGTTCAAGAGTGTGCACGCGTCCAAATTTGTAAAATGAATTCTTCTGTCGAAATTCATAGTGAATTGCTAATTACGGCGGTAAAGAAAAATGCTTGTATTTTAAAATTATAAATTGAAAGATTATAGTAATAAAACAATAAAAAACAGAGCATCGATGGCGGTTTGTGAAGAAATTGTAAATGATTCTAATAATAATTCATAAATACAACTGACTCCTGTACTAGAGAGCAGACGACGGCTATCGTTGATCTTCGAAATTGAAATGTCGACGGCTGCCGTCGACGCGTCAACGGAAGCCGCCGACGCGCGTCGACGGTTGCAGTTACATCTGCCGTTAAGAAAATGCCGCTTGTGTGTAAGAGCTCTAAGGAACTTGGTTTACCGGCCGGCTTCGCGTGGGTGTAATGCTGATACATCTTCACTATTTAATGCATGTTAGTATACACTAGCTTCCGCCTGCGACTTCGCCCGCGTGCTGTGTCGACTGTCGATAAAAAGAAGCAATAGAACAAAATCGAGGTATAAGTACATAAAAATTGTTATTAATCGTCTCATTTTTATGGTTACATCTCTAATGGGTATAACTTGTAGCGACATCTAGCGCACTACATTAACAACAGCACCAATCACGTGCAAGAGTCTACATCGCGCTATAAGAGTTTTCCACACAATGAGCACCCATATAGATATCCCGACCACATCCGTCGGGCAGTAGCCCACCAGGCACGAACACCTCGCTTGGTCGGAGGATCCTTCCTTTTCAATGGAGGATGAAGAACTTTCCACCCTTTTTCTCATACCTCCAAAAACTAAAAGCCTTATTACTTACTAAGTCTCCGCTATCCGTCCATCCATAGATAGAATGGTACGGATCTAACTAATAGGTAAGTATTATAAATATTCCATAAAACCTATGTTTCATTATATTTCAAAAATAATCCTTATGGCATGATTTAGCGTTCACGTGCGACACGGCGCGATGGCTTATTATCCGAACTGCTATCAGGAGTTCACTTGCTATTGTGCGTTAACCATAAAAGGATAGACATATGCTGTAATACAATATTTTTTAGATAATTTTAAGAAAAATATTTCCGTCATACATAATTTCTATGTAACTTTAACCATAAAGGCTACACACGCGACGGAAACATAAAAAAAGGGAGTAACTTCTCCCATTTTCCCAACATTTTCCTTCACTGCTCTGTTCCTATTAATTGTAGCGTGATGAAAATTATTCTATAACCTCCCCAGGTGTATAAAGAATAATTGTACCAAGTTTCGTTAAAATATTTCATGTAGTTTTTGTTTCTATAAAGAACATACAAACAGACAGACAGACAAAAATTTTACTGATTGCATTTTTTGCATCAGTATCGATCACTAACCACCCCCTGGTAGTTATTTTGAAAATATATTTCATGTACAGTATTGACATCTCTACAGATTTATTATAAGTATAGATAAATTATGTATAAACCCACCCTTTTCTTCAATCACTCGCATTCGTCAGTCGCATTCGTACTTAACCTACGGGCCACCAAGACCATATTTAAAAAAAAAACAACGTTGCCCCACTATAGGATTTTCTCCTGTGTTGTGGGTGCGTTTACAAACATACAATGTCACATATACATGACACCCAGACCCGAAACAACAATTTGTGGATCACACAAAGTGTTGTTCCGTGCGGGAATCGAACCCGCGACACGTTGCACGGCAGCCAGTTGCCCAGCCACCGCACTTCCATTTATTAAGAGTATCAGTCGTAGAACCCTAGTACTTACCTTAGATGACACTCTCAATCCAACCTTGAAAGATTACTAGGAAAAAACAATATTTGTTCAAACGAAGTGTGTCATTATTTCTTCAATAAACAACACTGCCAATAATAACCATGTCGTCAGGATATAAATAGGTATATTGGTTTTTCCTTGACACTCGAAGTTTATGTAGTGTGTAAGGCACCTACATTTTTGCAAATCGTATCTGAAGTAGCCCCATTTAAAAAAAATCCGTTAAAAGACTCTTTCTTTGTGTTTTTTTTTTATGTAATATTTCGGCAAACGAGTAAGTAGACGGATTACCTGATGGTAAGCAATCAGAGCCGCCCAAGGACACCCGCAACGGAGGAGATACGAGTGCGTTGCCGACCTTTTAGGCATTAGGGTTTTGGAGATTAAGGGTTACTTAGAGATTATTGGGGAGGGATCGGGGGTGGGTAAAGATTGGGTCTCCGGTAACCTCAAAATTGAAAAAAAAACTAACAAAGGAACTGATTCAAAATGACTAAGTAACCATGGAAAGCCAAGCTTCGGCAATCAGCGCCGCCCATGGACATCCGCAACAACGGAGGAGTTATGACAGCGTTGCCGACCTTTTGGGGATTAGGGAAGGGGATCGAGTACATCGAGGGATTGGAATAGTTTGCCGACTGCAGTCTTTCCGTCCGAATATAATTTAGGTGTCTTCAAGGCTAGAGTGAATAGGCTCTTAATAAACTAGTGCGCCTTACCATCAACGATTGCATCACTGCTTACCATCAGGGGGGATCGCAGTCAAGCACTAGTTTATAGCAAGTAAAAAAAGGAAAAGGAAAGGAAGGATTGGGCCTCCACTCCGGTAACCTCACTCACACAGCGAAACACAACGCTGTGATTGTTTCATGCCGGTTTTCTGTAAGGCCCTTGTAATACTCTGGTCGAGCTGACACATTCATGCCGAAGCATGACTCTCCCACACTCAAACTGTTAGGAAATTACTATTTAAATCATAATATAAATTAAGGTGGGTTTCAATCGTACTTAGATACGTGTGTAAGGGCAATAATGACCCCGGCCTGCAGCAGGAGAAGGAACGGGGCTTTTTTAGTCAGTAAGAGTTTTATTGTGAGAGAAAAATCATCAAATGACTTCTCTCGCCCAGTGTAAGGCGACAGTGTCAGACAGCGGGAGTGTCAGACTCTTACTGACTAAAAAACCCAGTACCTTATTGCTCTAGCCCCGCAATCCCGGCTAAACATCAGTCCATTAGGGCCCCGTCTTTTTTTTGTGAGGGGAAAATCATCAAATGACTTCTCCCGCCCAGGGCCGGGCGGAAGGGAGTGTCAGACTCCGGCTCTTACTGACTAACCCCCCCGTTCCTTCTCCTGCTCTGGGCCGAGGTCGCGGTGCCTCATTGCGCTTACCCCGCCACCCCGGCTGAACATCAGCCCTATAGGGCCCCGTCTGTGGTGGTCTATTGGCTCTTTGAGGTGCGCGCGGAACACTACGCGCCGTGTGCTCGGGTCTGGTTCTGGTCGGGCGGCGAGCTGATTAGGGCCCCGTCTGTGGTGGTCTATTAGCTAGTCGGTAAGAATCTGACATAGCTTCTTGCTCCCAACAGAGCGGAAAAAGTAATTGAATGATTTTCCCCC